GGTGATAGTGCGTTATTTTAATTTTGTTGTTGTTATTGTTTTTTTTTATGTTATTCTTCTCTTAAACACATATATATATGAAACATATTCTATGTATTTGATTTTTTCCTCTTTTTTTTTTTTTACTCAATAGCCTTAACAAAAAGAACAACACAAATATGGTTTCAAAATGCTCGTGCTCGAATGAAAAAAAAACCATGCGCAACAACAAGTTCACCACCCACATATGCAACATTGACAAATAATAATCTTAATCTTGTCGATACACTTCATTTATCAGCAGGTAAATATAAGAAGATTAAATGTTAAATTTTTTTATTTCATAAAAATCTATCATTTATGTTCTATTTTTAGAACAACAAATAGACGCAAAAACGAATCAACGTATGAATCATTTACAATGGTCATCATCACAAACATCACCAGCGTCATCATTGATTTACGATGGAGAAAATAGCAATGATGAATATTCTACTGGATATATCTAGAAATCATATCTGAGAATATGAATCACCTGTGTGTAATTGACAGAGAAAAGGAGAGTGAGGGAGTAGAGAAAAAACAGCGTTTTTTTTTTTGTTGTTTCTTATCTAACAGTCATTATTTTTTGTTGTCATTGTATAAATCTCGATGTTTTAACCAGATAAGTCCAACATAAAGAAAAAAATATATCCGAAATGAATAGCAAAAAAAGTGCCTTTTGTTATTTAACTCGTACACCCGATTCTGAAATAATTCAATTTGCTGAACAATTAGCACGAGATTCTCGTTCAGCTTCCAATCTGGATATTTATATTATGATCGATGATAATAATTTTCAGATACAACCAAATTCATTAGTAAATTTTATACAAATAAATAATAATGAATGTATATCAAATGGTTATCATTCATCAAATAAAATTGACATGAATAAAGATTGTATATCATGGGATAAAGCTTTATATTATTTTTGTCAAATAAAACGAAATGATTATTCATTTGTATGGTTAATTGAAGATGATTCATTTATTCCATCAGTTGATGCATTTTTTCTCTTACATAATAAATATTCAAATGAAAATACTGGTGGTGATTTAATTTGTCAAAAAAATGATGAAAATCTATATGGTGATACATCAACATGGAAATGGGCTGATGTTGTTGGAAAATTTTCACCACCATGGTATCATTCAATGATGTGTGCTGTTGGTTGTAGTCGAAGATTATTAGATGCAATTGCTAATTATGTTAAACAAAGACGTTTTCTTCCATTTATTGAATATATGTTTAATACAATAGCTATGCAAAATCATATGAAAGTTATTAATCCACCAGAATTAAGTACAATTGTATATCGAGAAAATTGGACAATGGAACATGTTCGTCAAAGACCTAATAATTGGTTTCATCCTTTTAAAAGTGAACAAATTAGACGAGAGATTCGTTCACAGTTAGTTTTTGAAATTTTTTTAAAATCATATTTATGACATTTCTTTTTTAGAGTGGCAAATGCATGGAAAACGCCTTCACATAATGTTGAACATACAGGAAATACAGGTGATGGAGGATATACACAATATCAAGGACAAATGCCTCAATATCCTTATTTTATGCCACCAACATATAATTTACCACCGAATAGTGGAAGTGTTCTTCCACAACTTATTTATCCTCCTAATATGCCTCCTCCTTATCCAACTTCTATGCCTCCTTCTTATCCTCCTACTATGCCTCCTCCTTATCCACCTCATTAAATTTAAGTTTTTTGTTTATTATAATATTACGAGACATAAAAAAAAAGTGTTCATTTCTTATTAAAGAAAAATAAATCTGAACAGATAAAGATAAATAACAAGATTGTACTTTTAGTATTTTTATTTTAGACATCTGCCATAGAATTCATCGCACATGATCTAATTTAATTACAAGCACATCTTTACTGTATTTGATCAAACATAAGAAAGATATAATTGTATTTTTTTGTAGTAAATAATTATATTAGTGATGACATAGCAAAAGATTTCATTTCAATGAATAGAAGCAAAAGTCACAGTAGATCTTGATCTTTTGGTTTATATTAAACAGTATAAACTAGTATCATTCAGAATGTTATAAACTAATAGTTATTAATAAAGCAATAGTAAATTTTTATAGTGATAAAATATGGGAAAAGAAATTCTTTGAATAATCTTCCGTTTCTAACTTTAAATATTGATGCATGTTTTTCGAAAAATATCATCTCTATTATTGTAGAAACATCGATATATATAAAGAAATAACTTTTTTAAAATAATTTTATTTATTTAATAAAATTAGACTTCTCAATCGACAAGTTTTTTGTTCAGTGTTGACTCAAGATCTTAGATTGTTAACTAATTTTAATTGGACATGAATATTTGTTATTTTCTCAACGAGGAATAAAATAATTACAGAAAATAAATCTTTATGGAAAAGAATTTATAAACAAAAATGAATAGAAAAGTTGAGGATAATGATCACATTGAGTCTTGTCGGTAAAATTACATGCTCAACCCATTCTTCAGTTTTCTTGAGTTAGATATTATGCTGTCTTCTTTCTTTGTTCTTTCTAAATGACTTATTTTCTCGTTAAATACAGTTCATAAAAGAGAATTCTATTACTAATTGCCAAAGATTTGAAATTAAACTTGACAACTCTATTAAATGGTTTCGCTAAAATATTATGATGATTTCTGTAAATATATTAAGAATAAGGTTAGTCATTGAACAAATAAATCTAGTTAAATTAAAGAATAAAAAGCAAGAGATGGCCTTTGAAACTAAAACGAGCTGATATATCACAAGATATTTAGGCCTAATACACGGATATCACGATCTGCGATCATTAGACTTTTCTAACACATTCTTTACAAAAAAAAGTGACATTCAACAATTTCTTCTATAGACATAATTTCACTAAGTTTCAATGTATGTCAATAGTTCAAGGATTCATTGTAATTGTCATTTAGCAAGCAGGATTGATAAACAACATCATAGTATATTTATCTATCTGTTTTTTTTTATCTGTAAACGATGTTTTTATTTTTTTGATCCAACTGAATTATGAATAAAAATATAGTCTGCACAGCAAATATATTATAACTATGATTGATTGTTTCAATGGCTCCATTTTGTGTGAAGAAAGTCTTTGTCAACAGTATATGGTACAACTAATGCATACTGTGCCAAAACTCATCTACTAAAAAGAAAAAAAAATATTTCTAATAAAGCTTCACCATATGAATTGTCTTTTGTTTCATCGGTAGAGGATACTTCCTATTTTTATCTCATAAATATAAAGTTCATAAATACTTTTGAAAAAAAAGGCACATTTAGACTGAATATGCAAAAAAGTTCTTCTTTCAAATTTCGGAAAACAATATGTAGGGTTTTTATTGTAATTTTTTCAAATTTTTTTTTTCATGATTATGGACTAAAAATTATCTAGACCTCCTTCTCTTGTTATAGAAGCATCTCTTTAACATTTTCAACAAACTAGACACATTGTTGTCAAATTTGGTGATCGTAACAATTATGAAATTGCGCCAGTTTACTCAGCTCAGTTTGCATTTAAGTTTTTGATGAGTAGCGAACAAATCGTTGTAAAGAAATGAATGAATCAATCTAAATTTTTCGAAAGCAATAAATGAGTGTTTATACAACGAGAGAAGAAAAATTTAGATGATTGTAAATCTATAATAATGTTGTTACAGATTCCTGTTTCTGTAACGAAGATTAATGTTTGTAAAATCTTCTTTTGGTTCGGTTCAGCCGAGATTCTTCGGCCTATCAACTTTATTCGAATTATTATTATCCTTTTTCTTTTTTTATTTTTGTTACCTCATATATATATTAACACCATAGAAAGAGAGAAAATACAAGTAAAATACAAAGAGAGCGATGAATAAGTTTCTTCTACTTCAGCCTAGACTGTTCTAAATACTGAAGATGACGTCCAATATCTTCTTTCGTTAAAATGCTCTTAAATTTAGAATAGAAGCAAAGACTGAGAATTAGTTGAAATTGTCACGGTCGGATAGAAAAGTAGAAGAGAAAGAGAGAGAGAGAGAGAGAAAGATGAGGAGAAAAAGGAAAGAAAAACAAATATCTATCGACTAACGTATGTAGAGTGAAAAAATATATACGAATGATGGGGCACACACAAGTTGAAGAGAAGAATAAGAAATAAAGATGTATGTTAGAGTGCTCTCTAACAAATGTAAAAATAAAGTTTGCAAAAATTACAAAAAAACCATATATTGTTTCCCGAAACTCGAAAAAGGGAGTTTTTTCCAAATTGAGTCTAAAAGTGTCACTTTTCAGAAGTCTAAAACCCTAAAAGAAACGTATTATTTTCTTTTTCATAGGTAAATTTTCGGACACTTGTATATTTTTTTACGCTAATCATGCTCCATTAAATATATATCGTTTTTTATGGCAAGTCAAGGTGCGTTAATGTATGGAGTATTTTTTCATTATAGCACAATTTCAATGACGCACATGAAAAGTCACAGTGAAACATGAAAATATGAATAGCAACAAAGAATCATAAGAAACAATTTTGTTTCACTTTGAAAATCCGAAACGAAAAAGATATAGAAAATCGATAAAAAACATAGGTTATGCGTAGGCAAAAACAAGCTAAATCAGTCATGTGTAACATTTTTTAAACATATATTAATACAAACTGTAAGAGAAACACGTTTATTGAAATACATGTCAGTTAAGTAATGATAATGATTTCCAAAATTCTACTTATTTTCTTATTTTTCATTACGATTAATGGAGAAAAGAGTAAGTAGTCAAATTTAAGAATTTCCTCTTTTTTAAAAATCGAACTTCATTCAGCTTGTCCTTCCGAAAATAAATGTGGACGATATGGATATTGTTATATGAAAGAAAACACAACGTCATGTGAATGTAAATTTTGGTGGGAAGGAGAATTATGTAATCAACGTATGTCCTTCTTCAATTTTTACATCAATTAAAAGAATATAAGAATGTTTTTTTCAGAGTCAGATAGTGGAAAACAAGTAATTATACTTGGTTGCTTGACGGGAACACTTATTATCATTTTCTACAGTTTACAAATCATTCGAACTATTTATAAGAAATACAGACAACCAAAAGCAAATACGAACAAGTAAATAAATATTGAACTATTTTTCAATATATAATTTTAAATTTAGAGAAATATCAAAAGATTCGAAACTTATAAATGTAGCAATTGAACATGTAAAAAAATCAACTCCAATATCATCAAGTTTTATCGCTATTTTGATGATTATTGTTGCTATTGGAACTCTTCTTGCTAAATGGTCAATTCTAAAAGAGATTCATGCTGAAATAGTTAATAAATATAAAAATAAAGAACCAATCTATTTCAACAGAAAATCTTTTTGTGATATACTTGATATTCAACAATTCAATGTAGTGACATTTCCTGTTGCTTGTCTAGTTGTCATCATATGTATGATAACGACCAAACGAATCTCATTTATGAGAAATAAATGCTATGGATATGGAGCACCACCAGTGCCACTTGATTTTCTTTCACATTTAGATCGAAAATTTGCTGCTGTTATTTTTGCCATTATAGCCGATGAATTGTTTGGAATAGTACAACAACTTGGCGAGTCATCAGGTTTAAATGAAGGCATTCTTGTTAAATTTCTTTTACGTATATTTCAAGTATTAATAATGGGCTTTCGGTTTTATCCTATATTGGCTTGTGTTTATATCAATTCGATAGTTACATTAGTATGTGCAACAATATATGCATGGCTTGATTATTCATTTACAATTGTTACTCAAGGTATGTGTTATCCAACGTATTATCCAACGTATGATGAATATGAGACAAATACAACTGATATTAGTGATAAGTTAGATTATTATGGTACTGGTTCAGCATTGATTGCTATTGAATTATGTAGTGATATTCCAAGATATCTATGTTTAGCTTATGTAAGTGTTAAATTACCAGCAATGTTAATAGAAAAAATATATAATCAACGAAAAAAACATTTAACAGAAGAAAATAAAATGTTAATGTCATTAACACAAGAAGAAAAACTTCTATTATGTATATCTCATCCAGAATCGCCTGAAATGCTTTATGTACGAAACTTATTTCGTTCAGCTAATGAAAGACCTCGAAGTGAAATATTATTTGCTCGTTTAATACCAAAATTTATTTATGAATGGAGAGATGATTTTCAATTTTCAACACGTGTTTTATGTCTTTATTCATCTATATTCTTTTTACTTTTCTTTGTTACTGTTGACGCTTGTGTAGGCATTTTACCTATATTAAATACTATGCAACCAAATCTGCAAACTCTTGTGGAGTCTATCATTAATCTAGTTGATTCAATAATCAATTTATTCTCTAATAATGGTGATAATCAAGATCCGGTTTCATTGACATTTCCATTACCAAATTTAGTTAAATCATACTATTGTGCTGTTACTATGACAGTAACAATTATTGTTATACAGTTAATAGTATTTCTAGCTAATATACGTCGAAATCTATTACAGGTATATCGTGGTGATGATAGTGAAATACCACGAAGACAGAGATCACAATATGTTACATATGCTACCGGAAATTTTCATTTTGCTGGATATTTTATTGGTTATTTAATATGGGGTTTTATTATAATAGCATTTTTTTCGACAATATTTTGTGTTTCTATTGGTGCATTTATTACATTTGGAAATGTTAAAGTGTTAGAAAAAATTTTAAAATTCATTCTACCAAGTCTTTTACTTGTTACTTTTAAAGTATTTCTCAACAAGCTTCTTGCACAATATGTTTTCTTACAACATTATGGAGATGTCTTAGCATTGGATAATCGTCGGTTTTTTATGATATTTATTTATTTTAATTTCTTCTTAGATGCTTTTCTTGGTTTTATTTCATCAATATTACGTTTCGTTAAAAGTATTATTGGTGCAACATTTTATATGTGTCGATTAGATTATTCACCATTAGGACGAAAATTAGAAACATTCGATAGTGGTTTTAGTGCATATTGTGGATTTATTCATACAGAATGTACTCATCGACATCCAATTATGCTAGTATTTGTTTCACATTTATTTAGTGAGCTTCGAAAACAACAATATTCAATGACTCATATCGATTTAGATGATTTTCCACTTGAAGAAAAATGTGCAGTTGAAGTGAAAAAAACATCAAAATATATTCGAAAATGGAGATTAGCAGTTTTTCTTGTTCGAAATCCAGCTATTGTGTTTTTTAGAAAAACCTTTCTTAAACAATTATGTTTTGAGGATCTTCAGGCAATAAATGATCTTGATAATGATAATCAACATAATACTCAACGAGGAGCAGCTTTTTATATTCGTCAAATGGCTGCACAACGACCAAGTTTTGTTAACGAAATCGATCCAACACAGATCATAATTCAAAGGTTTTGAACATAGAAGTTTTACAAAATTATTTTTGTTTCGGACTATTTTTTATATAAATGAAACATTATAAACGATGTTGATGAATAATTTTATATGGAAATTTTTCGAACTGATTGATATTAATTGTATCTAATAAGATTTGGTTTGTATTTGAATTTTACTTAAATTGAAATTCTTTTTTGTTTTGTATTTTCGATAAATAAATATATTTTTAATATAGTTGAGAAATTCCTATTTAAAATTCAAAAGGCATTTCAAATCAATTTATACTAAGCAGATTAATAAAAAACAAAATCTGAGTAGTCAATCAATAGAAAATTAGACTTAGAAGAAAATGTTTTCAACATATGAATTGCTTTTTAAACGAAAGCTAGTGGATAAATGTTATCGACCGTGCTGAACTCATATATTCCTATAAGAAACACTATTAGGTCTATATATTTTAGTTTCGTAGAAGACCGGTTTTGTAAAGTACTAAACTTACCGCCAAATTTTTCACTTCTTTGTTCAAATTATAAAGTATATCGAATTATCTACAAAAAGAAAGTAACTTAGTCTGTTTCAAATCAGTTATTTTTAAGAAATTTACAGCCATTTTAATTCATATAACAGATACACATCAACGTTTTACTGAGAAAAGTTTCAAGAAGATATTATTTTGTGTAAAACTCATTTTTGGAAAAACAGAAAAGATTATTTTCTCATAAAGAACTGAATATGTTCTATAATGTGAGTAGACCTAAAACAATTTTGGTGACACGCTTGTTAGTCTAGAAAATCGGTTTCTTAGAAAACTTATACAAGAAGACCTAAGATTTCTTATGATCATATTCGAAATCAGATTAGTCATTAACTCATAATCCAATAGTTTTTGGTGAGAAAGCGATTGATCAGTTGACAATGTTTCCCTCGTTTGTTATTCACGATTATTCAATGTTATTAATCAATATTCTGTATATCCACAAGTGTTTTATCTTGTGTTTTTCGAACACAGTCTTCTTTTCAAAGTCATAATTGATAGTATTGTATTCGCTGATTTCATTATTATGGAAGTGCTAGTCCTTCTTTCTGCTTATATAGTCTTCCAAATCTTATACATGGTATAAACCATTATTTTCAAGTTGGTTACGACCGTCTTGAGATGAAACAATGACAGTGCATCAAATGAATCATCAGTGAGAGAGAATAGTAAAACGCATTGACTTTTGTTACTAATTTTAAAGACTAAAATATATATGAAGAAGAAGAAAATATACGTAAACGAACACGAGACAACCAATTTGCTTTTCTCGTCTACAAAAAAAAACATTCCATCAATGATAAAAAAATAATGATTCGTTGTTTTTTATTCATGGATTGTACTTTTGATGTCTTAAAATTCATTAAAAACTTATTAGCGAAAATAAAATAAAAAACTAATCTCAAAAATTTGAGTATCACTGTTTTTACTAGAATTCTTCTCAACTTATTCGTGTCATCAATCTAGTTTCGTTAATTAATTTCTTTCTGCAATAGTTCTGTACTTTTGTATAAGGTGCGGATTTTCAAATTACCATTGTCGATATACAGAGTGGCGCAAAAGTCACTTTACCGAAAAAAAATTGAAGATCTCCATTACGCTTCTAGCAAACGAGCTGATTTTTTTATTAATGATAGAGTCATGTCTAAGCTTTATATCCATAAAGAATATGCCTAGAGAGACTCTTCGTTAAGTATCACTATTGAGCTCAACAAAAAATTTTAATTTTTCACAGATAGAAAAAAACCAGTATGTTTAACAAAGGGTCTCTCTTGGCATGTCTTTATGAGTATAGGACTTGAACATGCCTCTATGATTGATAAAAAAATCAGCTCTTTTGCTTGAACTATAATGAAAATATTCAATTTTTTTCGGTACAATGGCTTTTACATCATATTGTATATTGTTTTTTTTCCTATCCGCGAAAAAGTAAAATTTTTTGTTGAGCTGAATAGTGATACTTAACAAAGAGTTTCTCTAGGCATATCTTTACGGATATAAAGTTTAGACATGACTCTATCATTAATAAAAAAATCAGTTCGATTCCTAGAACTGTAATGGAGATTTTCAATTTTTTTTTCGGTAAAGTGACTTTTGCGCCACCCTGTATATTTCATTTTATTTTAATTGTAACAATGTTTATTATTAGTTTTTTAATATCAATAAAATGCTTGAGAACGGCGAGATAAGTTCTATTTATTTCTATCGATTGAAATACTCTTTAACAAATAAAATACAAATGTTTTTTTTTATGAATATTCAACAATATACTATGTACTTTTTTTAAAATTTTTTGCGATCACTGATGGCATTCAGGTTTTAACAATACTTAAAGACAAATGGAAAGACAGTAGAAAACCTAATGAAAACAAGAAGAGAGAGAAACAAAAAAGGTAGTTTATTTAGATAGAGATCAAGAACAGTCTGAGTGGAAAGCTGAAATACATAAATAGCCTTTGTATATCTGAAATTAAAGTGCATCAGAAAAAAATTTTGTAATTTATACAAATCGAACGTGTCATAATCAATTACCAAATAAGCAGGACAATAAGAAGCGTGACACTGTATAACATATTATTCAAGAATAGATCTATGTCCAAAAAAAGCTTTTTGACTGGTGCAAACATTTAATAGGATATTCTTTCAGCAGTCAAGATCTTCGAAAGTTAATACTATTGCCTTGTTCTAGTAAGAGTTCTTTATCAATCGAATTTAATAGCACAGCTACAGATCTATTTTAATACTTAAAATGTCTACTTTTTGAAGAAACTTCATCATGTACACTTTCAGAAAAAAGTATCCGACTGTGTGAAGGCAATACACAACTCTTCTCAGAACGGTATAGTAAAACTGAAATAGATCATCTTGTTAGTTTTGTGTAATAACTGGAAACAATACGTTCTCGTCGAAGAATTGCAATCGATTGAACTTGCAATTCATGCATTTCTATGAGCAAAAGTAAACCTAAGCTCAAAGTTGAATTTTGTTTCTTTCAATCTTTCTTATATATTTTATTAAAGTTTCACACATTGATAATGCTGTGATTACTCTTTGCTCTAAATTGAGTAACACAACTATCCTGAATTATTCATGAAATCAATTTTTACCCATGTACTTGATTTTAATCAAATCTAGCGTAGTTACGGTCATACTACAATCACACTATGATCCATAATTTTGAACAATAGCAGCATAACTATGTATAACTACGATTCTTTCGCTATAGCTACATGTGACTGTGTTACAATTTCCTTCAATTACAATTGATTTGCGGTGCTATAACGCTACTATTTTTTTTGCAACTATGTATCACAATATGTCGCACTGTAATCTCAACTGGATCACAAATCGATCGTAATGAAACTCATAAAAAGACATGCCACTTGTCTCCTATGTTGTTCTAAATTGCTGTTTAAATAAAACAAGCTGTTTATTTTACTCATATTCGACGACTTAAGGAACGAACAATGCAAAATTAAAGAACATTCTCTTGTTTTTTCATTCATATAAAGATTGAGCTCGATAAATTGAATAAGTATGTGTCTATTTTCATTTTTTTCAAAAGATTTTCGATCGTCTTGATTATGAGAAAAAAAACAAAAAAAAAAGAAAGAAAATATTACTTTAGTTTTGCCTTATTTACACATCAAAGTCTACAATCAACTTCAAAAATTTAAAAATAGTACACAAAATCATATAAATAAATACAATACTGGACGAATTAGTACAAATAATCCTAGTTATTTATCCACAATCAATATAGTATGATTGAAACTCATTCGATTAAATTACAACAATCTAACAATCATTAATAAAACTTCTACATAGAATCTGTAATTTGAGGTTATAGATTTTTCAAATAATGAATATTATATTGCATTAATTTATAATTCTATTATTCTCGTTAATAGTATTTATTATATTGTTTAATAATGAAAGAATGATAATTTTAACTTCCCATGTCAATAAATATTATGCTTTTTTTTCCCAACCAATCAAATAATTCAACACCAAATTATTTATTTGCATATCAGCATGAACTAAATTATTTGAGGTTAGATTTATTCGTATGCAATTATTCTATATAGTATATTATGGATAGAAAATATAATTTTTTCAATACAAGTTCAATGAAACAGTCATCGAATAGAAGCGTTATGACGATTGATGAATGTAGTCTATATTAGTTATTCAAGTTTTTTGGTTTCAAATTCAGGTGGAGATTTTGATTTTCTTTCAGTTATGAAATATTGTGTTCTTTTCTATTTTTCGTATGTAATAAAAGATATTTATTATGTATTCATATCATGGTCAAATATAAACCACAAATTGTTACAATTGACTCCTATTCTAAAAGACGACAGTGATTTGCTGAAAATCTTCTAATTAAAAATATTTTTTCTAAATTGAATTAACGAAAAATAAATTCATAGAATATAATTAAAGTAGAAGACAGTGTACTTTGTACTGATAGTGATGTCAGGATTTTTAATGAAAAAAGCTGTTAGCATAATCTCTGCAGGATTAAAATGTGAACATGATGTATCTACTGTTGCTAATCACAGGGAGGTAGTTTTATTCTATCGATGTTGGAACACATTTCTTCACCATCCTTTTACTTAATCCTTCAGAAATGCGATAATAAAGTGTCTTTTTAGTCAATATTTCGAAGATTTCCGTTATAAAAAATTCATTTTGAATAAAAACTAATATAATATTCGAAATCAGCATAAAACAAGGAGTTGGTCTATTTTCGTCGACAAACTTTCCCTTGATGTTTCTCAGAAACCAAACGAAAAATGAAAATCATGACAATCCTGATGTTATTTAATCAAAATTTGCTATTATGCCACCTTATAACTTTAAACAGTTTTCGAAGATTTTTATAATGTTTAAACAGTGATTCAATACACTTCATTCTTCATTTGAAACCTAAGGATAGTCAGGGAAAACTTTTTCTAATGAAAAAGAGGAGCTTTTTAAATCATGCATAGATCAACTCAGCTTTTCATGTTGCTTTCGAATATCATATTAGTATTCACTGATATTGAACTTTTTCTTACCAAAATCTTCTAAATATTGATTAAAAACATACAAACATGCGTCTGAAGAATAGTATGCTTAGAAGCTTCTTAAGTGATCATATTGTTTTAACTTTAGAAAATAGATGATTTTGTAGATTTTTAGGAAGGCTATCAAATGGTCACTATACTACAAGTGTCTATCAATAT